TATTAATTTATAACATTTCCGCACTGAAGTATCATTTAACTTGTTGAAAGTATTTACGCTTATTTGCAATTCATTTTTGTCTCAGGAATGCAGAGACTTCTCTAAAGAGGTTTCCACAGTACTTCATTTCATTAAACTACGTTCTGAAGTTTGGCATCTAACAAGGAGGGGGAAAAAAGGTTTCTCTACCCCTCTCTCATCTTTCCCACACCGCTTAGCTCATCAGACGTTCTGTGTGCCAATCCAAATTGCTAGAAGAGCAGCAACAAAAACCAAAGTGGATAGTTTTCTGCTGTTTTAGTGAGCTTGGTTAGTTCAGTGAAGGAGCATGAGAGATGGGCAGTAACAGGGACAAAAAGAGGTAGACGCAGAACAGAGAAGCAAGAGCTCTCCTGCCCAGGGAAGAGGAGACTAACTTCTGTTTTGGAAGAAATAACACACATGCACACTATCAGCAAGCACCAGTGCTCAGCCCTTCAGACAAAACTATTCGGGCTGACCTTGAAATATTCCAGTTTTATCCCCTTCTCTATTACAAAAAACATAACTCCTCCACTACCTTTGGTTGTCCCAAGTTTTGAAACCTTAACAACACTTTCAAATCTATTTTCTTTCTGGTAAGCAAAACCATCTGAATGTCTAGATCACTAGTTTTTCAATCACTGTTTTTGACTCCCTCAAATAATTCCAACATATCAAAATGTTCTATTAGCACAAAGTACTTGGATTGATGCTTTTGTCATTTATGGATTTTCAGCACTATCTTTCCATCACTAAAGCTTGTAAATCCAGAGCTGCCACCATCACAACTAATGTCTTTAATAGAAAGCTGTGTGTAGTTCTTGCTAATCCCCAATACAAGACCTGCTTGGCCTCTTATTTGTGACTAGTAGCTATTAGTAATATAACCATAACAATTCCAGAATGAAAGATGCCTATGGTCCACAAGTTTCAAATTCAAATCCTAATTTATCTTGTTTTGACAAGAACAGCCCTAGCTCAGCATTCATCTATCTATCATTTTATACGGTATAAGCCACAGCAGGAAAATTAAATGCAGTAGCAGCGTTGCTGCAGTCACAGTAATAAAACGATATAGGCACAGGATAGTCTATAGGGAGAGGTGGAACACTACTGCCAGCATTATTCAAATACCTACATATTTAGCTCTAAGCATGAAACTTGTTCTTAAGTACCAATCCTTGATACAATTACTTAAAAGACTCAAAAACCTCACTTCAATACAGAGATAATGGTCAGAATTTTAACTGTCAATGGTAAAAAGACTTAAGAACCGATGATAAGAATGTCAGCCAAAGCTGCTCTTAGGCGCAAGACTAACGCACAACAACTCTTATTCAGAACAAGCTACTCTTCTTTTGATATTTAACATTAAAATACTTTTTTTCTGTTATCTACACAGTTTAATATTAATGGTTAGTGATGGATTCTCAGTGCTAAACACTTAAGTAGCACTTTATAACTTCAAAAATGGTGCAAGATTAACTAAATCAAGGCAACTGTTTATTGTCCATGCTCACTTTCATTTATTCCTATAAAAATTGCAAATATTTAGAACTTTAAAATATGTACTATGTTACATACTGTGAAACGTTCCAGTATCTGCAAGATAACTTAAAGCTACCCATCAAATATATGTCAAGAAACAGGCGAACAGAATGGCAAGCCAAATGAATATATTTGATTTTCCTGGCTCAGTAAGCTTAAAAACGTATCAAGAATATCTAGATACAGATACAAAGTCAACATAAAGTGCTAATAATTTTGTATTAATCTCGGATCCAAAGCAAAGAAAAAGAGTATCTTAAAGCACCTCTTGCTTCTACATTTCTCACTGTTACAGCTACAGAATTGAAGTCTAGGAAGATTATTGCTCAAATAGAAAGAAAAATCAAGCAGTAACTTTAATGACCTATTTTTAAAGTTCAGGTGTCATTTAGTTTTCAAATTAAGACAAACAACATTGCATAATTTTCTCAAACAGGAAATGTTCATGTTTCTTCAAAGTTCATCTTACTTTTTACACCACTTATTCCAAAGTTACTCTCTTCTAGCTTATAGCGTGGCTGAGTAGAAACATTGAGGAGTTAAGTAAATGACGCTACAACACACTGAACTGGTAGAAAATCAAAATTGTAATCAGACAAAAAATCTTTTCCTAAAAATTTATGAAGATTTGATGAAACGGAAATAATATGTAATAATAGCATAAATAATAAATAACAAAATGAGTAATACCTAATAACACCCAAAGTGTATCATAGTAATTTTTCAATGAAACAGACAGTCTTTTGGTTGATCCCTGCATACTAAGGAACACATCCAGACTAACGTGATTTTTCTTTTAAAAAACCTGCTTGCTTCTTTGATGAGCACAGTAAGATTTTACTACAGTAGAAAGCTCTTCAAAATTCTGATTCTCCCAGTATTGCTCTAGACACCTACAAAATCCACAGTGAAGTAGGAGCTCCATGAGAGAAACAAATAAGTGATAAAATTTATTTAAACAGATAAACGTTTGAGGATTTTGCCACCCATGGAATTTCAATTTTACAATCTACAGAGAAAATTAGCACTGCTACTAATCACTATTATTTCGTGCACAGGTTCTGCAAGGGTCAGGTTTTGAGTTTGTTTTCTTTTACGGCAAAAAACAGAAGACTTTGAGGGAAAAGGAACAGCTGCAGCTAATGCAGCCTTACAAAATTCTGCATCTTACAGAGTAGTTTTTAGGTATAGCTGAGGTGGTGTGTTTGTCATTTTGAATTTACAATCATTAACTATTCCCAGGTGCAAAGCTTAATACTATAATGAAGTGTTTGTTGTGCTAAGGTACACTAAAAGCATTACTCTCCTTTCCGTAATATATATGATATCTTACTGTAAGGTTAGAAAAATATCAGGTAGTCAAATCAGTAACTCCATGATAAACATGATAATTGAAATAGAAGTTCCTACTTTTCCTCTTACTAGAATAAAAGAAAATTTAAATAAAAATGAGCTTATCTGCTTATATAGTTCCTCCTGATCTCCACAAGAGATCATTTTGCTGTGCCATCTACACCAACTGGTGTAGATTATCAGGTTGACTCAGAATACAGCACAAGTTAACACAAAACTTTAGCAGGCAACAAATCAACCAACAAGATGCCACCTTTGCTCTTAATCCTGCAGACTTTATACATATATATATTACTGAATATACTCAGAGTAACTTTCTAATGATTTACACAGTCACACTCTGTCAGTCCTCCCAAATAACTAACTTTCAACACAATTTGACATGAACAGATATGTTAAAAAAGAAAAAAATACACTTCTACAAAGTCAGTAAAGAGCAGGTGCCCAGAAACAGAAGACTGTTTGTCAGAACGAACAGTAAAAGACTGCAGCATGAAGTCACCTCTTTTTGAACACCAGGGAACTCACACAAAATTTCAGTCTTAGGAAACAGGAACCAGGTTCTGCAGCTCATAGGTAAGTATTAAAGACCATCTGTACACTAAGCTACCTATGGTATATACTTACTGACCATCTTTTAGAGGCATTCTTCTGTCCCTCTGATGGGACAGAATTTGGAAGAAGCCAACATGGGTAAGCATCACCATTAGCATCCATACCACACAATTCTCTTTTGAATAACATTTATCTAGCATTACTTCAATAATTAAAATTGAAATAATTTCGAAGTGGTTGCAAAATACTTTTCTTCTAGTTATCTTTAGCATTCTTACAATTTTGCTTCATACATCAAGAACAGCTGAAAGCATTAAACAGTCAAATCTATTAAAATTATTAACAAAAACTTAATAAATTAATAAAAATGCAGTGGGATACTGCATTACAGAGATGCGTCTGGAGCTTTTTTCTCCAAAAAGTTACACAAAACCCCCAGTGTTCAAGTAACATCATTAGGTTTATGAAACGAGGTAATTAACAAAGGAATGACATATTTAGAATTGCCTTTACAACACTCTGCTTTATACAGTACTATAAAATGATTCTTCAGGACTAAATCAGAATATTATTTTTTTAAAGAGGAAAAAAAGGAATTCAATTGTTTATGCAGTTGAATGTTCACCCAAAGAACTGCAGTCTGTTCCTATGTTTGCCACAGAATCTTATGCGATGCATGGCAGGTCAATTTTATCTTTTCACAGTTGGTTATTCAGATAGCAAGGAATACATAATAAACACTTGATCTAAGTGTTTAGGACTTGATTTCTAACAGCCCACACAGAGCATTAAAATATGTTTAAAAGCATCGAGTACGTTTCTCCCAAATGAAATTCATAGCCCTGATATATGAATGTAACCTCCTTCACATCACATTGGGAAAGTCTGGGCAGTTCAGAATGCAGTTCACAAACCAATACACAACTAGCCGACGGAAACTTTCAATGAGTAGAAGGGCATTTTAAACTTTCCCTTCCCATGGGTCTAACAACTAAACTCACAGCTACAGTGGAACACGCTGAATGTCACGCTCAGCCTCAAACTCTCCTTAGATGTTCAAGTTTCCCCACTCAAAATCAGAGAAGGCATAATGTTTCTTTAAGAACGGGACAAGTAGCAAGAAGATGCCCATAATGAATTCACTTTAGCCACTAGCTCAGCGTTTGAAACACTTGTCCTGGCTCCTGCGTTTTAGGTTCTCCTCAGATTTACACCCTCTAACTTCTGTAATAGTGCCCTGGGGCTCCTCGTCACTATTTTCTTCTTTTTGCCTCTTCAATCACCACTTCTTACACATTTGGAGTCTTCAGTCACAAGCCCATTTTTGTTTAATTTTGCATCATATAAGCTATCATAGCAAAGAGTTTTAAATTTTCCCTTCCTGCTCAACCCAGACCAAAGCACTTCTAGTAGAAAAGGAATTTATGTAATTCAGCTGCTATATAGTGGTTACTTACTATGTAGTAAATTCACATTTTTCACAAGTCGTAAACATATAATGCTAGTAAGTTTGCCTAACTTACATGTAAGTCACAATAAACACTTCCTTTACACAAAGATCGATCCCAGATATTAGCTCCTTCTTTAGTCCCTTCCAAAGATGAAGCTGCCAGGAACATTAACAAAGCCAGGTATTCTTCCACAGCCTCATGGTGGCCTAAGTTTATCCCCAAAAAGCTTAAGGTAAACACCTGGGCCCTGAAAAAAAGGGGTATTATAACAGAATATCAAGCAACATGCTACCAACCCTGCTTATGAGGCACACAGCCTCATCTATAATAATTTCTAAATAACTTCTCTGCCATAGAAACTAACAATACTTAGTGCAGCAGTAAGTAATCAGAATATTACTAACCTATTTATTCTGTAGCTTCAGATTTCTCATTACAATGAAATCATAGCAAAGGTTTGGGGTTTTTAATTTTTATACCCTTATATATTTGCTATTGATTTTGTAAACACAGTGTCCAGAAGAGACTAAATACATATTATGAAGGAAAACACATGCTTTCGGCTCAGTGTCTGTTTATGGAAATGACAGCTACTCATATCAACATTTGCAGACCAACCTCTTCTTACTGCAGAATAATATTTTATATGGAAATGGCTATCTTTTGAGGTCTGAGCAATAAAAATGGCTCCAATCCTCAACTCATACAGCTTCTGCTTGGCAAAAAAGGAAAGCTTTAAGGATGCCTAAAGATCAGATTATCCAAATTTCCAAGTAACAAAGATGAAAAAGTAGAAACTAGAGTGCCCTTATGGGAGCGGAGAGGGGGAGACACCACTGTATCTGGGAGGAAAGGTATACATATTTACTGTAATATGACAACAATCTAGACTCTGAATGGATTTACAGAAAAGGAAAATAAGGAAAGTCACTCTAAAAAATGACCCTCCTCCTCCAAGACACACCATATATTCGATACACTATATCAAATAAGACATCACATGCAGAAGGTAATCAACTTTACCAAGAGAATGAGCCTCCATATCACATACAGTTTATTGACTGAAGATGGGTATTTTGCAAAGCACCAGTCATTCTTTAACTATAGAACATATGAGACTCAAGACACCAGATGAAAAGTCTCTAGCCACAAAAAGATAGCTGATTAACAGCTTTAGGAAACTGCAACTTTTTTCACCACATGGTGGTTTTAACTAGGATAGTATTTTGTTATCACACAACATATAAATCAAATTAAATTTGATAACTGAACATACTACAAAGTGCCATCAGAACCTACAAATGTCAAATACTAGGTTAGTGCTTCATTGCTTCACTTGGTATTACAGATCACGAGATCTTCTGGATTACCATGTTTCAGTTCATCAAAGGTAGAAGAAACTTTAATATTCTACTTCTAGCAAACTTCAAGTCACAGAAGATGACCAGGACTTGCAAAGACAAGCCACAACATTAACTATTTCTAGAAGATCCACATCAAAACAATTCCAGAGCAGAAGAAGCCCAAGCAGCTAGCAGAAAAAACAGCTGATACACTCTGTGTGGCTGAACACACTCTGTAAGAAAGGCCCTCCAAGTATTCCCTGAAGATTTTACAGGTATTATGACCTGAAGAAGCATAGTATCTCCAGTCAAAGTCACTTCACAACAACAAAAAAACCTCCCACAAAACCCGCGAACAACAACCTACAACAACAGGTTTTTGCACAGGTCAGATATACAAAACTGAAATTGATTAATTTATTCAAATTCAACTTCAGTGTTTTGTCAATGTGAGTAAAAATCTATGCATGTATTTTGACAAAACATGACCTGAAATATGATAGTGGTGAAAAAAGAAGCAAACTAAGAAAAAAATATGGCAAATATTGGTAAGCTTTTACCTTGCAGGTAATTCTGTAGTCAAGACTGTTTTTTTCTACCAGTGTGTTATTAAGAAAAAAAGATCTGCCAAAACCCCATACTTTTGTTATTGTAGTCATAAATTTAGATTTAGAGGTACAACCACATCACAATGTACACTCTTCTCTCCTGCATTACCAAAGATGGAACTATCCACCTACTCCATTAACCAGATCTAATGACACTTTTTAGAAGATTATCCAAGAAGAACAAAGATCAACATCCATCCAAAGTGGAGGTGAGCTTAAAAGGAGAATCAAATACTAAGGAGACTAAGGGTCTGAAGACTGACATTTGTTATTCAATTTCTTGTCCCTGGCTCCTTCATATAATACATGTTTATCAATACATTCTTTGATTCCAATTTTTATGTAATGGTTTTGAATAATGCAAAACTAAGTCTACCCACACCCACAGAAAAGTCTGTTAAGTTAGTTGTACAGGATGCGTGCAGGTGAGCAGTTTTGCATGTATTCTTAAGGGACTAATAAAGAGCCAAAGAACGTTTGCATTATTGTGCCACTGTCTGTTATGACCCCGTGTTGAACTTAGATGACAAATTTCCCATAGACAACTATTAATCTAGCAGTAATAAAAATGTAAAGTAATAATAATTATACATTTAAGATTCTTTTCAAAAAATATGTAAAGCTAAATTGTCAAAAGAATACAACAACAGAAATTAGCAGTCAGTTATGTTCTTTGTACCCTCACAGGAAGATTCCCAGGTAAATGACAAAGTATTCTGCCATCACAGTGGGCTTGACCACCAGTACCAGTAAAATGTGTCAACAAGAAAAGTCAATTCTTTGATGAGAAGAAAAAGATACATCAGGTTGAAACATAAAAAGTTAGATGCACCTGTTTATCAGCACACTTCCTAAAATGTCTACCTCTGTTTTTCTTTCCCACCTAATCACAAAGGCTACACATAAAAAAAAATCTCTAATGGAAAACCAAAGCAAAGGAAGCTGCATGGAAACAGCTTTCCCAATGGATATATCCCAAAACTGATGATAAACAGGAACAGGAAGGTGCAAGTGCAAATGCACCTGAAGATGTTTCCTCATTGGGCCCTAGTACCTCTAGTTTATCACCTGTGTGTTTATTATTCAGTGCTTCAGGAACAAGATTTTCTTCATGCTTTTCAGCAGAAATTAAATTTATCAGAAAGCAGATGTGCCACATAATTAGCAACGACAAATCCACTTACTTTTTTCTCCTTCTCATGATGTTTATCCTGAGAGTGAGAGGAAGAATCACTTAAACTTTGATCATATGACCTATTAGATCCCCGTTTGCTCTTTTTCTAAAAAGAGAAAATATATTTATGGATAGAGAAAAGGAACCATTTGAATAAATAGTATAAAAAAAAAAGTATAAAGCATTTAAACTGATAAGATGCCTCATTGCTTGAAGGGAAAAAAACTTCAGTTACTGAAAAACTGACAAATTACTAACACTGACAAAATTAACAAGGCTACCCAATGTATACCAGGAAAACAGCCTATCCTTGTATCGACTTTTACACCTCCCACAAATTTGCAAGATATGCTTTCCACAAAGAAATGAGATATGCCACTTTTTAAAGTTTAGAAGATGCTAGACACATTTTCAACTTTTTGTAACATGAAACAGAAAATACGCTTCTCAAATGAGCATCACACGAAACCACAGTGCTTGTACTGCTACATGCTTTAAATGCATTGTGAGGTAGCTGGTTTACGGCTTCATGATTTATTATTCAAGTGACCTGTCTGCAATATTTTCATTAAAATGGTTTAAAAAATAGGATACAGAATTCTATGGTCATGTATGCATTTACAAGCGGCAGACATAATTGCCTGTATTTCTGTAATGTTTGAGAGCCTAGTCTGGGACTGCAAATACATGTTAGGCCAGTGTTCAAAATGTTTGTTATTTTAACGTAACTGAGGTAGCATTATAAAGGCACTTTGGATCATTGCTTTGCCAATCAAAGTTTTCAGTGGAATAGTAGATACATGCCACCCATCATCTTCAGTAGTAAATACTAACACCTGTATTTACCAGGCATCAATAGTCACAATAACCCTAAAGAAACACTACAACACTTAAACTGTCTTGCCAGTCTTTACTGTTCTTACCACTACAGTTTTATAATGGAAAGCTAATTACCCGCCAAACATGGAGTTATGTCTTTATCATTAAAATTGCTTTTTACATAAACATACATGTTCTAAATAATAGCAGCACTGGAACATTCAAATCAACTGCATAATAGTGTAAGAGCTTGCCTTTACTGCTAAGTAATAGACCACTTCTGTTATTTTTGTATACTTAGCTCAAGACAATTTTAAAAACCCCAAAATCTTAGTTTAGTAAGGGCGTAGAAAGCCCTGACTTATCTTCATTATGAAGCAAACTCATCAATATTCACAAAAGCACAGAGCTAACCTCACCAAGCTTATCTTCTAAAAAGCTAAAATGGTTCGTTGACCCTGTGTTTTTACCTCACTGTGACCTATTCAAACATCACCCAAGTATTCACCTTTTTTAGCAGTGAAAACAAGTAATCAGCAAGTTTAACTAGCAGTATCTGAACTGAAGTCTAGATATTTTAATTTTCATAATTCAATATTCATAAATAACATTTTTTAAACAGCAGTAAGTCCTTGAAGTCCACACACACACACACACACACACAGAAACAGATATACAGAACTGTTGAACTGATAAGAAGCGACAGGAAAGACTCCAGAGGTCTGACTCAAAACCTGCTGAAATAACTGAGAAATTTTGAAGGGTTTTGTTTATTTTTTAAAAATCAAACCTCAAGTCACATCCTTGAGGTTGTGTTTCAGACAACTTATAAGCGGGGAATATCCACTGGCTACACAGTGAGAGATAGAACAAAAGGAAAAACACTTTAAAAAAAAACAAAAAAAGAGTAACAGAAGCATAAAGAAATGGAGGGCTTCTTTATTCTCTAATATACAGGATAACAAGTAATATTTCCTAGATTATTCCAAAATGGACTAATTTCCTTGAAGCCAACTAATTAAAAAAAAAATTACAGGAACTTAATGAAAAAACCACTAAATGTGCATGCTATTTCTGGCAGAGGGGGAAAACCCACACATCTAGAAAGTAAAAATATTACAAAAATATTTTCAGCTAGTACTTCTGTAACTGTGATTAAAACATTGTTTTAATGAAATACAATCTACTTTCTGAGCTACATGAAAATATTATTCCTAGTGTTAATAGCAATTCCGAGTGAAAAAAATCAGTGACATTTATTTATAGAATTTAACAAATACATACCAGTTTACTAAAATGGTATTTACAGTAGCCACAGTATTGGACGTTATCTGCACCATTGCCTTCTTCTTCGCAAAGAAGTCCTGCAAACTGTGCACTAAAAATAAACCAAACAACATTCAAGAAAAGCAATTTTACATCAACTTAAGCAACAGTATCACCGTTGATAATGTTCGGATACGTGTATCTGCATTTAATAGAAGATATTTCCACACAAGTGACCTCTAATGGCACTTGAACACATAACTGACCTTTGTAGCCCCGTGAAAAGCACGTATAGTTTATACCTTGGCCTGATGCCTTTTTCAAAGTCTTTAAGCCACTCACACAAGCTTATAGCTTGAAAATCTACATTTATTATGCAGCTACTCTCACAAATAAACAAATCAAGCAATTTACAATGATTCTTAGCTCAAACTGAAGTAAAAATTTATCTATGGAAAGAATAGTTTTTAAAAAAAACCATATTGCAGATCCAAAGAAGAAATTTTTCTAAAGTTGCATACATCCTTCTCTGCTTTGTCAGGAATTATTTTTTTTTTTTAAAGTAGAACTTCAATGACATAATAAATCAAACCATATTTATTAGTTTAAAAGACTGTGGCAGGTTAATTTCTTTTAAAAAGAACAAGACTTACAAGTTTCCTTGCCTGGGCTAATTATTACCTTATTCTACTACCTTTTTTTCAAATCAAATTTGCTTTTTCACCATTTGTAATGTTGATTTATTTTCTTTATCAAAACCAACTTAGACATTGAAAAACCCAATATTCCATTTCATTTTCCATATCATTTTCATTAGCATAATAATGCAATGTTACAGTCAAAGTGATGCACGGGAGTATTTAAATGAAAGAACAATATATAAGGCAGCTTTTCATTACTTTTTTTAAATCACTTTCTCCTCATTTATATATTATATTCCTGGGCAATCCAGAAATACTGCTTCCTAAATACATGCACACCTAAAGCAGATGCCAACTACAAAAAACATTTAACAGGATCTCTGTAAGTGAAGATTTATCGGTCTAAGCTTGCTATACAAAAAACAGATGGATTCAAGCTCATTCTTCCCTAGACATTAGTTTTGTCAACAAAAAGTTGATACACCTCGCTCTGGATCTCTGCCTTCTGTAGTTTTCACATTTTTCTTCCATTTTTTAAATATTACAGTAGTCTCAATATCTTCAGTCACAGTACTCTCTGGCTAGATATTCTTTTATAGTACATACCTGGTTTTTTTAGAATCAAAAATTCTTAAAATATTTATCTTGCCAATTTTTATTTCGAACCTAATTCTCATGTTTTTATGGCATTTACTGAAAAGAGGGCTTTGGAAGAAAGAAAAAAGATGAAAAGGACTCCTGTATGCATTCAAGTGTTTGAAAGAAAAGAGACTTTCATCCAAACATTTGGATGTATACATTTTTTCACATCTCTAAGTAACCTCTTCACATAGTATGCAATCTTTGAGGAACACAATCCATTTTCACCAATAAAGAAACTGTGTCACATCCAATGAAAAATTAGAAGCTTATGAAAGAGTAAAACCTGCCAAAGAGTAAAGTAATTAAAAGGGGGGGGAAGAAGAGTTGCCAAGAAATCAGCACCTACACTACAGAATTATATCCTTTCAGACCTGCACAAGACATTCAAAGTACCACTTGATTACGCTGAAGAAAATACATTTAAGTAATTTAAGTAGGTGTGCAAATACCATTTCCCTGAGCTGGTCATGAAGAAGTATACTGGGGCAACTTGTAAAACACATGGGTAAAACCACAGATTATGTAGCTCGGTAGCCTGTGTAAATCTGCTATCTATCTATTGCAAAATAGCTTCCACCGAACTTGAAAAAACAAATAATGTCTGTAAATTTGGGGGGGGGGGAAACGACCCCTTTTGCCTCCTTTTACCTGTTGACATGTTGTTTAATCTAATTATCCAGACACTTTTAGAAGGCCATAAAGTAAGACAAGCATCTCCTGAATGCAAGCAAATCTAAATATCTTAAAGTGGAATGAATCAGATAGTGGACACAGCTATTTTCCTCCAACAGCTATACATGAAACCTAAATGAATAGCTCAGGATAGATATGTACCATTTAGATAAAACCAGTGAGGTGAATTACCCACAAATGTTTGGAAATCTGTACTGGAAGAGGTGAGTCTACTGCATTTTTATGTATAGCTCAATATTTTTTCCTATTGATTTACCAAAAGTAACATCAAATCAGTTAGCAGGTAAACAAACAATGTCTTCACATTCCCATATTCTATAAAATATCATCTAAGAAAAAAAATATAAGACAAAAAAACCCCACTAAACCTTATTCACAGGAGCACATAGCATTTAATACAACCCGAGGGAGTATTATCAGTCAGCTTTTGCAGCTCACAGAAACGTCTATGCTGCCACATCAGAGATGTTAAATAATAAAATATACTTACCACGTTACGTGAAAAGCTTGTCGACATCCATGTTTATTACATGTCATACAAGCACCAGTGGCTGCTTTACTTTCTCTGCCTTGCTCATCACAAATATAGCATGTCTATCAAAGAGAAAATACTTAACATGATAAGAAGCATACAAATAAATTTTGTGTTACTCACACGATATTCTAGGGTGAGAACTACTGGATTTTCCAGCTAAGCTTATGTAAGAATTTCATAAAGGTCTAGTTATGTTTGTTTAAAAAAAGGGGTCACCTGGTAAACACTTAGGATCTATGTAACACTTCACCAACGCTAAAGCAGTACAAATACTAATTTACTCAAATTCTATACCGCTATTCAACTAGACAAATGGCCCAACAGCCAAAGGTTAATAGCATTAGGCTTCAGGATTCTCCTTGCTTTCAAGTTTGTATTTATGTCCTTCTAGGTCGCAATCATTTTCACATTCATTTAACATCACCTGTATTGGCGGCATTCAGAAACATCAAATTACACTGAGTGCCTAATGGTACAAGATACCATACAGTATATATGCATATGTCTACAAAATTACATACAAAAACCTGCAAACTTAAAATTTTATTCATACATTTGGTGTAAAGAATTTTCAGAAGTATCACAGTATGCTTCAATATTCATATGATGCTCAGTTACCTTTAATTAAATATGGTGTTTAACAGAACTCTGTTTTAATGTCAGCATGACTTGGACAGCCCCATAAACATCTTAGAAACTAATCGAGCAAGAACTTTCTGCAAACAAAGCTTAAATTAGTATGCCAAACCCATTTCAGCCTCAAAAACAAGCTAAAATGAAAACAACTTGTCTAGTAGCTGAAAATATTTTAATAGCATTTCTATTTATTTGTTTTACTGGGATACTATGCAATTTGTAATATTTTCAAAAACATTCTCAGTAAAATGGAAGGGAAAAAAATAAAATTAAAAGAATCCAAAAATTATTATTTTTCATTACTCAATACTTTTTTTTTTTTAAGTATGTGGCCAATAAACATGGATCTATGCTGTATGGAAGCTTACTGTTACACTAGACATCACTACAATCTCTCACCAGCATTTCAGGGAAAAATACCAGGCAAAACTAAATCTCTTTCCATTTTTTATTATCCTAATTACTGAAATGAGAGATTCTATCATATCACATTTATATGGAAAATTTAACAATTTAAGAATAGATTCTTAATGAAAGTATCCTACAGCATTCAGGCAGTCAAGTGTCTGGTTTTTAATGAGAGAGAACCTTATTAAGGTAACAAACATCAATGACATACTGCTACCTCTGTAGAAATGCCATTACAAGATCTTAGATGAGAAAAGAGAGACTTTTTTTTTTTTTAAATTGTCTTCATTTAAACTGTAGCTGACTTATTGCAATTGTATCACAACCTTCCTTCAGTGAGGCAGAGAATGAGTAGAATAATAAAAAGAACATCAACCATGGACAGTAGAAAATACAGTTTAAGAAAAATGAACCAAGATACCACTGGGGAAAAAAATAAAAAGGATGTAATGCAAAACCAGTATTACTTAGAAAGACATGAAAATTAATGAAATTCTGAGATCAGAATAGCCTTTAACAGAGATATTTAGAACAATATTTAACATGAAACGTCAGCTAACTAAAGCATTTTTGTTCACACGCAAGACTATAGGGTGGGTGAACGATTCTTGTATGGTTTCCACAAGACTTTCAAAAAACATTAAACCTAATAGCTAATATATCCTAAAATCATACCCTATATCCTAACATTTGAAGGATCAGAAAGGGGATAATCCTACTTAATTCTTTGCCTTGCTCCCTTCGTACATCAAGGTAGTGCATACAGATAATTCAGTTGTTTGACAGTGTCTGAGACTGGCTGCTTTTAACTTTCCATACCGTGACCTGACACATTTAGTTTTTAGGAACAAACAAGGTCATGATCTATCAACCTCATCTGAGTAACTATATTAAGTGGAAGTAACTTCAAAAGTAAGGTACCTCTATAGAGTTCAACGGACCCCACAGAACTCAAGCCCCAGTTACTGTTCTGCTTTTTCAGAAATTTGCCTTAAGATCTGTAATTTTATTCCTCACTGAAGCTCAGAAAGAAAAATGATATAGGCATTCCATTTAGTAAGGATGTAGACCCTGTTTTTCAACACTACATACCGCATTTAGGGTCTGTGTTTCAGGACCCCTTAAACTGATTTATAGTAAAATGACTGAAAAGTGATAAAAACCAACCAGCTACATTACCAACAAGTTTAAACACAACATAGTGGACTGCCTGCCCATTTTAACAAGCTCAATGAACTTCTATCCTTCCTACAATAGCCATAAGAAGTATCAAATCTATTTCCTAATCTTCCATATGAAACTGGACCAAAGAAGGTTCATCTTCCTGTTCCAACATGGATAGTAAGTTCTCTCTGAAGCTGAGCTTCTCATACTTCTACCTTCTCTTAGACGCACAAACAATTCCAGAAGCCTGAGAACATTTTTCACAAAGCAGAAGACTTTCACACATTTGCAAATCATGCAATTGCTACATCTCCTCTGAAACCTGTCAAATGTGGAACTGTAAAACTCTGTGTCCCACCACCTACAGCAGCACTGCTCTTCAGAACTCCTAAGCGAAGAGAGTACTTAGACTTCTCCCAAACTCATTAGAAAATAAGCAAAACATTATACAAAGATTTTGACTCAGCAAGGACATTTTGCTCAAAAACCACAACAAATATCTTCATTTCTTTAATGGCAAAATATACATTTTGCAAAGCTGCCTTCGTGTTTCTGTCAATATTTTTTCTTCAAAGATTCAGAACATAAACCTTCTTTGCAAAAGAAAAGACAGAAGGGAAGATGAGGCAAGAAAAACTTTATAGAACAAAACATAATTTCAGAAATAGTTTATTCTACCTGTAACAGCTATCCAAGAGCATTCCATGCTTACAGAATCAAACCCAGGAGTTGTACAGAAATTTCTCACTGTTGCAGCAAGTACTGAAATAAAAGTCTATCAGCTGCCTTTACTACTAGGCAGATCAAGAAACTCCAAATGCACTTAATTTTTAATCAGCTCTGAAAAGAGATTCCTAGAAGCTGTAATTATATTCAATTACCAGGTACTTTCAAATGAACCTGAAAGAGACAAATAAAGCTCATATAAAGAGCAATTACCTATGCATAACCATCCAAGGAATAACAAACATCTACTAAACAGGAGAGCAAGTACTAGTCTATTTCTTTTTGGAAGCAACTGTGTAAGAAGAGCTTTCCTGTTAGTCAACCCACTAACCAAGTCATTCCATGGATTCATTCTGTAATGTGATGGGTGTTATCACAGAAGCAGGTAAACTTCAGGGAAGTAGCAGCCAACATCTTTACATTGACAAGCCTCACACATTAGTGTCTAATGTGTTTCTTCTTGCATTTAAGATCACTGCACTTTGTAATATTGCACATTCTGCAGTGTTTAATAAAGAAACAAGTGCACAGGAAAAAAACTGTGTAAATTAGGTACTATCTCCTGGCAAAACTCCAATGATGTTTATTTTAAAGACTAAAGTTTCCCCTACAGTAATTTTCATTGACCTATATTTTCCCTCAATTCCATATGCTAGCCTTCTATACATATCCAGTCACATACACAGAATTATTTAGGACTTCACAGGAAATAAAATCTTTCTTAAAATCACGCTATTCCAACCTGAGTTGACAGACAGAATGAAATTAGCACTAAGCCTCTTTAAAAGGAGAAACAACTCTAGTAATTTTTTCCTGATTACGTTTGCCATGTGCAACGAATGTTTTAAGAATTGTTTGCCATATCTACTTCTCAAAAAACCAGCTTTTCTTTCCCATTTCCTCCCAAATTGATAAAGTCAGAGTTAAATAATTTACAAAGTTTCTGATTTAAAAAATGTGTAATTAAAATAAATTATACTGAACAGCAAAGAGGATGGGAGGGTGAGCGATGCTGCTACAGTAGTATCAGACTCAGCACTGGCTACAGATTTATCAAAAAAGTTGGGAGAGTCCCCAGTCAGGGATTGCCTCTTCAATTTTGTGCTGTTACAATCAGACTGCTGTCGGCAGAGAAGTTAGAGTGGTTTCAGCAACTGCACTACAGGCATTTCTTTGATTCCCCTGAAATCCACAACCACTATTTCCTGAACCAAAGCCACCAAATAAAGGCAGTAAAAACTGGGTTCTGTAAAAAGAGAGAAAGAAAAATTAAATTGCAGGCTAGAGGTGTGGCCCCAAACTTTGAAAATTCTGATATAGATCTCATTATATTTTACAATATACTGTATAGACCTGTATAAAAGTAGTTTTAGGCTGACTGTTATCATTTTTTGAAGTTGCAAGGATTTACTCATCCAGTATCAATTACCATCAGTGGAAATGGTGCAAGATAAAAAAAAAAATCCAAAGTGTTCCATCAAATTTTCAAGTACATTAGGGAAGAACCACTACCAATAAAAAAACCCATTATGACTACTACTCAAGGAAAAATGAGAAAACAGATGTGCTTTTGGCCCAGAGTTGAGGAGAGAGAAAATAAACTCATCTGCCACAGCAAATCTGTACTGATTCGTGTCCAAGCACAAAAATTTTATTAGTTCTGCACTTAATCTCACTGTTGCATGTTCTTGCCAATGCAGAAGGAATCCAAAGCGAGGAGCCAATACAGATGCTCAGGTAGTACATAATAAAAAAGCATGAGAAGGACCTAGAGTTTGACTCCTGGCTTTTTGGACACGCTGGCAAATAAGATGGGCAAAACATACTGAGAGCAATTGTGAGAATGTGAAACAGACAAGGAAAGGACCAAAGTACTAATAAAGGAAAAAGAATAGGAAAACGTGGAGGGGAAGCACATAAATCAGAGCTGTAAAGTGGGCGAGGGGTGGGGGGAAATGGGAGACCACAGAGAAAACTGTGAACAGGACTGGTTTCTCCCTGTAGGAAGAACACCAGAGGTGATAAATGTCTTTTTTCTTTTATAACACAGTCTATTCCTTTTTCTACCCCAGTATCCACAAACCACCATAAAGTAAAAGAAAGAAACTAGAGGTAAAAGAGCAACACAAGAAAAATATGTAATAAAACTAATCAGAAATTCAGACAGTTTGCTGCTTATAGAAGAGAAAATTTAAAAATAGAAAGGAGGCAGTAGTTAAGTCTAGTGGCAAAGAGGTAGCGCAAGTAAAACAAGTAGAAAAATGTAACTATCAATATAGAACATTAATAAGTTATTTTCACATTGCTTTCCTTCTGCTTTTTTTTTAAAGCCTCACCACACTTTATAAAACATTCCATCTCACTGACACTTATTTAGAAGCAGTTCTTCTACAAGGATATAATCCCCCTAAAGTGAATACTGTTTACAAAGGCAAAAGTCTGCAAGCTTTTGCCTTAATATATTAGCATAACTTTTCTTCCTAAAAGAAATGTTTATGAACATCATATCAATACTTAGAACAGTAGGACTTAGTGGTAATTAATAATAACATTGCAAATAAGCTGTAATAATATTTTAACCTATGGGAAATATTTCACATTCCTTTCAAAATAAACCGTTATTCAAAGATCATGATACTTTTAATTAACAAAACAGTCCCTAATCTTTAAATTAATAATGAGACCTGGCAGATAACCTTACAGCTTAATTTAATAATATAGCTTTCTTAATTCTTTAATTTACCATAAAGCCATAGCAGAAAACATACAGCATTACTACATACATTTATGAATTTTATATAAAGTGCATTCTAAGAAGTGTAGTTTTACATTATTAAAGCTCACAAGTTTTAAAATAAATACATTAGATATAGATAAAATGACATATAATTATACCTTATTATAACGATCATGAGGAACAGACTGCAACACGATAGGTTCCATGGTAGAAACATTTGCAAACTGCACCTCGGGAATGTACAGAGCACAAACCACATGAGCCCAACCTACAAAAAGTTATAATTGTATTTAATTTTAATGTTTTCTAGAAGCTCAAAGGACATTTCAATTATAGTACAAAGAACCTTTTACAACACTTTTTTCCATGGACAATTTTAACTGTTTAGAATATTACAGACATAAGTTACTTAAGTCATGTTTACATTTCATTTTATATTATCCAAAGTTTAGATGACGTGTAATACATTTTTAAGTTAATTCAGTGGAGAATTTATACAAATAATACTCTATGAAATTCAAATACTAATGATTTATATGGTGACACACAAAGGGAAAAACAGGTTATTTCTTTAAATTTCTTGGATTAACATATTCATCACTTAAAAGCTATGCAAATTCCTGCAAAAGGTAAATATCATCTGAACGAACTAGTATTCATGCAAGCACTACCATATTTTTATTTAAACAAAGACGTTCTAAGTTGACTAGACTCATGTAGACTTTCTATAGAAAGAAATCCAAACACACACACAGATCCCACTCTATCAAATTGCTTCTTTTCCTTCTTTAAAGTTGTGGCCAACTCATTTTTTCATAGGAATATCAATTCCTATATCCAGTCCTGTTCTAACTCATTAACTTGGGGTCATCTACAAATGCTTAGTTACTTACCATATTGTGTTTTAACAACATTTCAAGAAGTAAACATTCCTAATTGTCTGACACATGGTTGGATGGAGGTGGGGGGAAAGACCAATTCAGAAAGAAACCTACTAATTTTAGGTCTTTTTTCTATACTAAGACCCTGAGAGGTGTCAGTTTGTTTCAGTGGAGGACAGTTTGCCGTAACCAGAAATTTAGCACAAGCTGCTATATAGCTAACCCAACATATATTAATATACTGACACTAACAGCAGAATTACAAGAGTAATAACGCATAGTACAGAGCTACCTCATCTGAAAGTGTATTTGGTGTGGCTAATCATTTAACACAAATTCTGTTCTTTCCCAAGGCAAAAACTCTTTTGTCATGAGATCTTCACTACACATTAAAAATAATTGTGCTTTCCTCCTACCCAGGCTTACTTGTATGCAAATATTAAGGACATAAAATGATACTTACATAATTATATAATCTAGCAGATTATTAGATTAGGTAAACAAAGTAAATTATCATTGTGCAAATGCATCCTATAACAAAAGGGGGGGACAAGACGGACCAAAAAAACCCCACACTGATAGCTGTGAATATTGAAATATTAAAATCAATTAAAGCAATTAGAGCCATTGCTCCATAGATGTAACCAAACAAAAGGGAAACCACTGTAACTTAGAAAATAATTAGTTGTAAGATAAGAAGCTCTGGAACAATCTCATTTTAAACAGCTCGGCCTTGGAAGAACAGATACGCAAAGATAAGAAAGTTACAAGATGATCACAAAACCAGCCTTGAAGGATAAGGTATACATGATACCAGGACTGAGTCTGTGTAGAAGTAAAGGTCAAGAAGAGTAGGAGCCTTCATTTGAAGACCGCCGACGACCACCCGGAGGTGCCAACAAACATACGCGAAGGACATTAGCATATGCTAACAAGTTCCCGGAAAATCCATTAATGTGATAAACATTACTCGGAAATATAATGAATATGTATATTAACATAGTATAAATACTTGCTAGTTTTGTCTTTTGGGAGTGCACGTTAGGTGGAGTTATCCCCTGCGCACCCAACGCTGCAATAAAGAATGCCTGCTTTCTAAAATTTCAAAATAAGTCTTAGAGAGTGAATTATTTTGCCACTTTCCAGTAACACCACCATACTGCCTCACTGCAGGCCTTTTTGATTTTTGTTTTCATCTTGGATTTTCTCTTTTTAACTACTCTGCTGAATCTAAAGGTTCTTAATTTCTTCACCCAACTGTACTTTGACCCTTAGACTGAGCTAAACATAGTAGTATCTGGAACTGCATATGTGCTTTTTATTCTTTTCTTAAAGCACAAATCTTTTCTACTTGCTTCCAACCGATTGATGTTCCCCCTCCCCATTTACTAAATTGGCAGTTATAATTTGTATAGAAAATTAAAATCGCACACGTGACTCTTATATAAGTCAACATTCATAGTCAACATAACATGTATCATTCTAGTATTCCATCTGCAACTAAATACAGTATCTGTGCTGCTTCATAATTTTATTCACAAATAGTTTGTAGAATTATTCCACACAGAAAAAACAGAGACTAATAAAAGAGAGGGAAAATAAAGTATGAACTGCTGCTTTTAAAAACAGTTCCAACAGACCATTTTAAAATTATCATTAACAGACTGAAAAAAACCCTATAGAAGTCTCAGTCCTTTTTTTGTGCTCTCCTCTACTTGAAAAATCTTTGGGGAATTAAGTGTTTATAAGGACTTTTCTAAGACTTGCAAACTGCCCTAAGCCAGAGTCATCTTACTAAAGACAGATAAAAAAGTGTTAATGTGGTGTTAATGGTGAGTATTTATCTTTAAATCTCCTGTCAAAAAATTTAATTCAAATAGAAACACCATTCATCTAATAAAGCCATTAAACCAGTACAAAAGCAACACTGAAATTTTGGAAAAAAACCTTCTTCAGTTAGTAACTCCTAAACAGATGGCAAAAGCTTTTATTTCAGACGTAATGAAGCCTGTACTCCAGTTACACTTACTTATAATGAAAAATTATTATGCAAATATACAAAATATACCAGAGACATTTAGAAAAAAAACTTACTAAGCCAACTGAAATTTAGGTAAGTAAAGAATTTTCAGTACAAGAAACTAGTTTCAGAAGTAAATTTAACTGAATACTATCCATCACTATTAAAAAAAAAAAAAAAAAAAAAAAAGTATTGCCAGAAACCTGCAAGCTTAATACATTCTGATTTCCAAAACAGAGGACACATTCAGGATAGTTGTGGGCAATAGCACACTTTTATCTTTCATGATAACAAACCCCATATCTATACAATGAAACAAATGAAGTACCACAGCACTAACACACTTTTTGAACAAGGAGTCAGTAAATCCCCAGGGAACTGAGGACAAGGCACCTTTTCCATTGCTTTCCATCTATCTTTCCCAGATAATCTGACTTTGCTGAAAAATCACAACCTGTCCAATAAAAATTTAACCATAGGGGAGGTTGCAGCACCCTTGTGTTACCAGCCTCAAACACCTACATTGTAAAAGAAGCCTAACTGCAGCACCAGCTCCCACTAGGACTCAGAGACCTTGTACACAACTGCTCAAATGTTCTTTTGTCCTAAATTTCACCAGTGAAGAAATATAAAATTGTCGAAGAGCAACACCCAGCTCACCTGGAAGAGCCAAAAGA